ATGGGTGGAGCGTTTAAGACACCAAACTCCCCGTCATTGCTTTAGACAATCCAACGGCGATGTGGGTGAGTTGGGTGGTGGGGAGGGCCTCAAGGTCAAGAAGGTGGGTTTGGGACCAGCAGTTAGCGTAATGGCTATGTTGCTGGACTCCCACGGAGTCGACCGCGGTTTGAGTCCCGGACCCGGTGGCTTAAACTCACGCCCGGGCGCGTGTGCGTGCATGCGTGCCCAAGATCCCGAGAGGAGAATGGAGGAGAAGGGATTGCGGCGTGGTCATCCTCCTGTGGGGTGACTTCTCGCTTTCTGTCTCTTTGTCTCTCTCTGTCTTTCTGGCAAGCGCACGCGCCCTATAGCGAAAACCTCTCCAAAAAAAAAGAAGGTGGGTTTGAAAGCATTCCTGACCACACCAGAGCCCTCAGTGCTACATGCCCTACCTAGTTCACATTCTTCCCAGTCTTGTTACCTTTGTGGGACTCCTGGTAGTGTGCCCTGGAGAAATGAAGTCCCAGCTGAGGGCAGCCCTGCCCGGCTCAGTCCAGCCTAGCACCACCCTTCTCTGGGAGCTGCCCAGCATTTCTGCTCACTGGTCTGACCAAATCCCTGCCTAGGGCTAGGAAATCTCAATGGAGGGCAGATTTACAAGTCAAAGAAGGCCCTGTGGGTAAGGGAGGGTGTAGGGACCTGAATGACTGTAGGAAGAGGACCCAGATTAGATACGCTTATTGTTGGTTGAATGGATGAATGTGAATAGCCCTAGCTGTGACTGTGGGCCTGTGCGCCACTGGGATGCGTGTGTTATGGGGATACCGGCGGGTGTGAGAGTGGTGGGGTGTGTATGTGGTTGGCTCCGCTCCTAGGCCTGCAGGGGGCGCCCCGAGACTGGGCAGGGAGGCCCCGGAGGCTTGCGCGGGTCCAGCGGAGGCGTGGGCGTGCAGCTCCAACCACGCGGGCTTCTGCCCGACGCTGGTAAGGGCGTTGGCCCTGAAGTCCCCGCGTCTAGGAGTGAGGGCTGGCGTGTGGGTGCTGCCTGCGTGCTGCCTGCACCTCTGCACACCTGGGCCAAGGTGGGCTCCCGACGCCCCAGTCAGCCGTTACCCCGGCCTGGGACACCCGTCCTCCTGCCACCTTTGCGGGCAGCCGAGGCGGGTGGGCGGCGAAGGGCTGTGCCAGGCGAGGCGGCGAGGATGAGCCACTGCGTCGCCCAACCCCACTCCGCAAATCAGGTTCACCCCGAGTCCCAGGCGCCGAACGCTGAAGGCGCGGAATAATTCATGTTTGGCTTAAAGGCTGCAGGAAGTTCACATCGCCTCAGGCCCTTCCTCCGCCGCGTAAATAACCTGTGCCTGAGCGAGTCCTTCGGCCCCTTGGTTTCGGTGCCAACTCGGAAAAGGCTTCCTTATCCCGGAGATCTGAGAGCCTGGCTGTGTGCTGGGCGCGCCGCTCGGCGCCAGGCGACTGCGGCTTTCCCCTGGCACGGGCGGAAAAGGAGTTGCCCTGCCCGAAGCCCACACGGGAAGCCGCCAGACCTCTGGACTAGCATGAGACGCATTGGAGGACAAATAATAAAAACAACTTTTAAAAACGGACTCCAGAAAGATGAAGGACATGTGGACTGATAATTGAGCCCACAGCCGCCCCCTCGTGGCGCCGTGGGGCAGCGAGGACCCGGGGCAGTGGCGTATCCCGCGCGCGGCGGTCTCCCAGGAAGAGGCGCCGCGTGCTCAGCTCTCCGCGGCGTGCGCTTATGTTGTTAAGGCCGGACTGAAATGTGCTATTATCACAATTTGCGGCTCTAGTGCAGAATTCTTCAAGGGCAGGGTAACACAGTTTGTGCTAAGGCGTTTTAATTGGCCACTGAGAAACGGTGTTCTGAAGGAAACCGTTCTCAGGTTCTTGACAGAGCTAATGCTGGGGGGTGGGGGGGGAGCTGTGGACACCACCAGAATGACAAATACAGGCGGTAAGAAAAGAGCCTTGCTGGCTTTAGTATCCACACAAACGGTCCTTCATTGGTCAAGATCGTTGGCAAAGGACAGAGAGAGCCCTGATGATCTTAACAAAACTGTCACTTTGTACCAAAACACAAGGAGAGAGAACACCTGGATGTGGGAAAGAAAAAGAACTTACAAAAGAGGCCAGCTGAAACCGAAGACCTATTTCACAGGTATATGGCTAACACTAGGAAATGGATTAATTTTGGGCTTTCATAGATAACAAATTATAGACCCCATCCCTCTGACATTGATTGGGGCATATATAGCCAGGCAGGGAGATGCCAATACATCAGGTGTGTTTTGCCAGTAACCTCATACTATTAACAATTTTTAATTTTTGAAAAAAAAAAAAAGATCAAAAGAAAGAACCTGTCATTAGTGATCATGTTCCTCTAAAGGACTGGGTTGATGAGTTAAAGAATGAAATTGGGGGCAGCCAAAGTATGGCATGGGTGTCATGGGAGTGAGCATTCAAAACCTGGCTGCTGGGGCCAGCAAGTAGCTTGGTGATTAAGGTGCTGGGGGTTTGAGTCCCAGACCTGGCAGCTTGAACATCACGCCAGAAGTGTATGCATATGTGCCCAAAATCAAGAGAGGAAAATGGAGAAGAACCACCCGTTGGGGAGTGATTTATTACTTTTCCTCTCACTGTCTCTCCGTTTTTCTCCCACACACTCTGTGGCAAAATGAAAAATAATAATAAATAATAAAATAACCTGGTTGCTTACTTTGAAATCGGTTTTAGATTCATGTGACTGAGGTTGTTAAGGTTCTATTAGCTGTAATTTCAGGAGATTTTACTAGTCTGTCTAGCCTTCACATTTGTATCAAAGAGGCCCTTTTAGGAAGCTTGATGGAGGAGTGAACCCAGGAAACAGGAGGCTTCAGATTCTGAGGCAACTCTGACAACAAGAAGGAGCTGGCCTACAATTGCATTAGGGTTTGTGTGTGTTGTTATTCCATAGATGAGACAGTGGGGAAATCATTTAAAAACAAGATGTTTATCATTTTTTGGATGGTACTGAGAATGACTTACTGTTAGAAGATGGCGAAAACTCAGTTTAAAAGCAATAAAGTGTTTCATGCTTCAGTGTTAAAAAAAATCAAGGTTTCAGAGATTACATTAAGTTTTCCTATTTGGGGATAATTTTGTAAATTTTGGAGATAATTGATCGTTTTCCCCCTTTCTTTTTGTTTTAATTGCCATTGGGCACGTGTGCTTGCCAGGGAGAGGGGGAAAGGGAGAAAACATCCCCAAGGGGACATGGTCATGGTCCGTTTCTCCGTCTCATTAGAATTTGGGGATGCTCACAAACACACCAAGTGTGTTTCTTAAGCCACTGGGGCCAGGACTTGAACTGCAGTTGGTTGTATAGGATTTGGCTCTCTTAACCATTAAGCTAACTGTGGGTCTGGCCCACGATAATTGATCTTCAGGGAGTGTTTATTTGTACATTTCTATTTTTTAAAAATGTATTTATTTCTTCTGGCAGGGGTCAGGGGGAGATACAGAGAGAGACAGCACCCCCAATAGGATCTTTTTTTAAAAAAAGTGTCTTGGGCCAGTCTGCATATAGTGGTTAAGGTGGATGGATCCCACATAGCCAATTGGCAATTAGAGTCCCAGACCTGGTGACTTGAGAAACACCTTTGCATAGCCCTTTGCCAGATCATATTCCCCAAAAGTACCTGATGTTGAATTTTTCACCAGCGCTCTGTTGAAGGAGCTTAGAGTACGAATTAAGACCATTTTTGAAATGTGGTGTTTTTTACACATCAGAGTGTGTAGACTAAGAGCACACCAGCTGCCTAAAGATAGGTAAGGATGAGCCCCCATCTCCACCAGCCTCGAGAGGAGCTGATAAGCAAATATTCTTAACAATTTGATGCCCCGAAGGAAGGAAAAGATGGTGGGTGAGGCAACTACTCATAGCTTCTGACGTCCCTACCTGCCTAGCTGCTCCCCCCAGGATCTGTTCCCTTCATGTGCAGGTGCCCAGATCCCCTGGCAGGTAAAGGGAGGCTGACTAGCCCGGTGGGACCTGGTCTTTGAGGAATCCCTGCCATTGGAGTGTGGACTCAGCGCCTGGCTCCCTCTGATGGTTTCTCTTCTTCTTGCCTGAGTGCGAAGGGAGAATAGTAGGGTCTTGGCTTCTGGAAAGAAGATGTAGAGGTGACCCAGGCAGGGGGTCTTCTTGATGTGGAGACTGATTTACATCTGAATCCTGGGTTTCTGAAGACATGCCCTAGATTTATTCCTTAGTTTCAAGAGTTTAAAGGGGCCAAAGTAACCTGGATCCTAGTTAGGGGAAAAGATGAGAAAAAGGAAGGAGGGAAGGCTTTCCCAGTTAGAAGAAAGCTGAAGGAGTCAAGGGATCCAGATGGGAATTGAAAGAGAACACAACAGCCTTATTAAACAAAGAAGAGATGCTGAATCCAGCTTCACTAAACAGGGCAGAAGGGAGTCCTCTTGGGTTTTTAGGGGAAAGGGAAGTTCTAAGGGGCTCCCAGGGCTGAAGTGTGCCTAGGGTAGCTTTCAGTAGAACTTGTTTTTGCCTGTATTACAGATGGACCCAGGTAACAACCTCCCTTCACGGAATCTTTCCAGAGAGGTATTGGATGTTCTTCTGTAGGCCTCAACAATGGGGGAGTAGTCCCTGGTGAATCTGTGAAAAGATCTGGAAGTCATTCCTGGAGTAAGACAGTGCTAGACAGAATCAGGGAAGAGATTTCTTCAGGGTCTCAGAGGCCTGCATGGTGGTTGAGGTGCTGCTCTGAGTCCACTCTCCAATAGCGGGGATTCCTCAAAGACCAGGTCCCACCCTGCCAGTCAGCCTCCCTTTACCTGCCAGGGGATCTGGGCACCTGCACATGAAGGTAACTCTCGGGGTAGGTGGGGACATGGAGTTCACCAGCCAAAACGCTTGGCTGAGACCTCAGAGTATGTGACCCCCCACTATTGTGACGTTGGCTTCCCCAAGGACACAAACACACAGGAACAAGTACTTGGATGGCAGTCTGGTACAGCTTTTTATTCAGTTAGGTATAAATCATATTTCTAAGGAAGAGGTGGGGTGCAATAGGAGGAGCAAGCTCAGATCCAGGATCCTGGGTGGTTCTCCTCAGAGGGAACAGTCCTGCTGCCTCCTCCCCGGGAGATTCTTCCTCCTCTACCTTTCTAGGCCTGGCCTGGTGTGAGCAGCTCAGTCATGTAGGGTAAGGCTGGGAATGCAGATAGGATGTTCAAAGCAGGAGAAGGAGTGTGGCAAGGCCAGCATGGGGTGACTGCTCTGGGGAGCCCTAAGTCCTTCATTCCTTGGCCCCCCCTTCTTGCCTCTTGGTTGGGGCTCCAATCTCTGGTGAGGTTGGTGGGGGCCTCCTGGACTCCATGCAGGTTACTGGGCTATTGCGCTTTGGGGGTCTGCTTAGTCCTGGGAAGGCAGAAGAGGTGTGTAAGGGGCTGGTTGAGATTCCCCTTCGCTCCCCTCTCCATCCCCTTTCTCACCTCTTTCGGCCTTTGGAGCCTTTTCCCTTCTTGCCAGGCTTGGGGGTCCCTTTGTCCTTCTTACAACCCCGGGTTTGATCCTGTGGAGCTGATAACTTGTCCAGACGCTTCATCAACAGTTGCACCCAGGGCTGCTTGGGGTCTGCACATAGCTCTGGCTGAGAGCACTTGCGGGGTGAGAACCTGGGTTTGGAAGTTAATAAACCTTAGTCTTCCCTGTCATGCGCTCCCACTTGATTGCCAGCCTGTACTTACCCGCTTGTGCCTACTCACAGGATAGCTGGGATGGGGCAGCCTAAGCTTGGCTCCTGCTTCCGGTAGCTGAAGACAACCTGGGCAGGAATCTTCTTTTGGCTGTACTTGAGGCAACAGTCCTGAGCTCCTCCATCACTGCCTGTAGGGTAGGGTTTACAGGGAGCCAGGGGCTGCTTGTATGCTGCTTCCTTGACAGCCCCTTTCCCTCGTTCAAGGCTCCTCCCACCTTGGTACCTCGGATCCAGGGAATACAGAGGGCCAAGACCAGGATAAGGAGGCTTAAAGCCAGTGACTGAGCCATGGCTGTGGTAGAGGGTGAGGAGAAAGCCAGAGATGTAGGCAAGGTAGACAGCTGCAAGTTGGTGCCTTTGCGTGGGCTGGGACTGGCTTACTGCCTATTTATGCAGTCTGACACTTTCACTTCCTCCATCCTCCCTGACCCCCCCCCCCCTTTTCCTTCCTACTCCTGCCTCTGTTGGTGCCCAGCCACACTAAATCACACAGTCCCCAACCTCCCTGATTTTACCTTTTCACTATCAATTGAACTCATTAGATCCGTCCTACTGTTCCCAGCCACTACCTAGGTGTAGACCCAACTTCTTCTCTGGAACACTCCTCACTACACTTCAGGCTCCTTCCATTTCACTCGCTTCCCCCTCCTTCCAGCACATCTGATTATCAAATTGTAAACTTTTATTTTTTTATTTTTTTAGGCTTTTGCCATAGGGTGCATGAGTTTGCAGGAAAAAGAGAGACAGTGAGAGGGAAAGTGAGATATCACCCTGCAGGGAAGATGGCCATGCTACAATCTCTTCTCCTCTATTCTCCTCCTGGGATTTGGGGCATGAACACACAATTGCCCAGTGAGATTTTTATGCTGCCAAGTCTGGGACTCAAACTGCCATCAACCATGTGGGAGTCCAGAGCCTTAACCATCATACTACTTGCAGTTAAAAGTTCTTTATACTTTTATCAGATACATGGCTTGCAAACATTTCCTTTCATTCTGTGGGTTGTTTTGAATTCTTGATAATGTCCTTTGATGCACAAAATTTTAAAATTTTGATAAAGTTCAGTTTACCTGTTTTTCCCCTATTATCTGTATGTTTAGTATCGGATTTAAGAAAACACTGTCAAATCAAAGGCCTTGAAGGTTTTCCCTTGTTTTCTTCTTTTTTAGATCGTGGATCCATTTTGAATTAATTCCTGAACATATCATAAGGTAAGGGTCCAACTTTTTTTTTTTTTAATATAGATATTCAGTTTTCTCAGCAGCAGTTGTTGAAAACACTCTCTTTTCCTCATTAAATTATCTTGTCAGAGGGCTGCCAAATGGCATAGTGGTTAGAGGTGCTGGACTCCCACATGGCTGACAGAGGTTTGGGTCCCAGACCTGGTAGCTTGCTTTCTCACTTTCTCTCTCTTGCTCTCTCTCTGGTCAAAGTAAAACAAGTAAATTAAATAAAAGTTAAATAATTCTTTTAAAAATTTATCTTGGTAGCTCCTTAGGTCAATGCCACACTATTTTGATTACTGAAATTTGAGGGGTACTTTCTCTTTCTCTCTCTTTCTCTCTGGCAAGTTCACATACCCTCTAGTAATAAAAATTGAATGCCATTGGGGTTTTGATAGAGACTGTATTGAATCCATGTGTCACTTTGGATAGTATTGCCATCTTAATAATAAGTCTTCCAATCTATGACATAGATGCCTCTATTTATTAGGTTTTTAACGTCTTTTTCTTTTCTTTCTTTCTTTCTTTCTTTCTTTCTTTCTTTCTTTTTTTTTTTTTTTTTGGGAGGTTTTTTCTTTTGGGTGCATTCGCTCAGGTTTTTGCTATAGGGTGCATGCGCTCACTAGAAAGACAGAGACAGAGAGACAGAAAGTGAGAAATCACCCCCTAGGGGGATGGCCACATCTCAATCCCTTCTCCTCCATTCTCCTCTCGGGATCTTGGGCATGCACGACAGGCGCCCAACGTGAGTTTAAGCCACCGGGTCCGGGACTTGAACTGTGGTCAACTACATGGGGTCGACTACATGAGAGTCCAGCAACTTAGTCATTACGCTAACTGCTGGTCCCAGGTTTTTAACTTCTTTAATCAATATTTTATAGTTTTCATTGTATAAATCTTACACCTCCTCAGTTGAATTTATTCCTAAGCATTCTTTTTGGTGCTATCGTAAATGAAATTTCTTTCTTAATTTTCTTTTAGGATTTATCATTGCTAATGTTTAGGCATCCAGTTTTTTTGGTGTGTGTGTTAATTTCTATCCTGAAACTTCACGGAACTAATTTATTAGTGCTGAAAGATTTGTTTTAGTTTATTTAGGGTTTTCTGTATAAAAGATCATGTCATCTGTCAACAGAGATACATTTACCTCTTTCCCATTTGGATGCTTTTTATTCCTTGCCACATTGCTCTGGTTAGAACTTCCAGTTCTATGTTGAAAAGAAGTAGTGCGAGTGGGCATCCTTACATTCCTCTTGATCTTAAGAGAAAAGCTTTCACCTTTTCTCCATTGAATATGATGTTGTCTGGGATCTTTCTCTTTTCCTTCCATCAGGAGATGTGTGTGCTAGGCAGAGAGATAGAGATAAAGGGAGAAAGCACTCACATCTCCAAGGGACATGGTCACGCCACAATCCCTTCACTTCCATCTTTCCATACTTTCAGGATTCGGAGCACACATACACACATCTGTTCAGCATGTTTTTCAAGCTCTCAGGGCTGGGATTCAAATGATGTGGTTGGCCATGTGGGATACCAGTAGGCCGGTCCCAGCTGTGTGTTTTTCACATATGAAAGTTCTTTTCTATTTCTACTTTATTGAATGTTTTCATTTTATCATGAAAAAGGGCATTGGATTTTGCTAATAATTTTTCTGTATCAATTGCAATAATTATATGTTTTCCCTCCTTCATTCTATTAATGTGATGTATTGCATTGAGTGATTTTTGAATGTTGAATTACCTCTATTCTGGGGATAAATCTCACTTAGTCATGGTGTATCATGGTGTATAATCATTCAAATATGTGGGTTTTTGTTTTTTTTTAAGTTTATTTCTTCTATGAAAGAGAGAGACCTGTTAAAAGAGCTAACATGCGGTGTTCTGTCCCTAATGGCTGGGGTCATGGGCACTTGCCTGGCAACCCAGTATGCTCAGAAAGATCCTGGGACTCGAACCTAGGAACTTTCCTGTGTGGGTCCAGCTTTACCACCACTATACCACCACCTGGCTCCAGTGTTTAGTCATTTTAATACTGATGAATTTGAATTTCTAATATCTTACTGAATATTTTGGTATCTATATTTGTAAGTAATATTGAACTATAGTTTTCTAGTGGTGGCTTTATCTGGCTTTGGTATCAGATAATGCTGACCTTGTAGAATGAAATAGGAAGTGTTAGCTTCTCTTCAGTTTTTTGGAAGAATTTGAGATGAACTGATGTTAATTATTTTTTTAAGAATTAAAAAGAAATTCATCAAGTAAAATTGATCAGGTGTCTGGTAGTGAAGCCATTTGGTTTGGAGTTTTTGTTGTTGGGAAGTTTTATGTTACTGATTCAGTTTCCTCACCAGTTAGAGATCTATCCGGCTTTCCTATTTTTCAGTCAGTTTTGTGTGGTTTTGGATTTTACCCATTTCATGTAGGCTATTGAACTTACTGGAATATAGTGGTTCATAACATTTTCTTTATTTAAAAAATTTTAAAATAATTATTTTATTTTAACTTTATTTATTATTATTATTATTTTCCATTTGACCAGTGAGAGACAGAGTTGGCTACGTGGAAGGAAGTCCAGCGCCTTTAGTCATCATGCCACTTGCTAGCCCCGATAGTATTTTCTTATAATATTTTAATTTATGTTAAATTGGTAATAATTAAACATTTTAAACTTATAACAACCTACTTTGAGTAATACCAACTTAGTTTCAATAGTATGCAAACACTTTGTTTCTATACGCTTAGTACCCTTATATTGTTGTCATAGACTATATTTTTAAACATCGTGTGCCTGTTAACATATATTTATAATTATGATTTTAGATATTTGCCTTTTAAATTATATAGGTAAAAAAGAGGAGTTACAAACCAAAACTACAATAATACTAGCTTTTGTGTTTACCTATATAGTTAGTTTTACCAGATATCTTTATTTATTTCTATGGCTGTGAGTTATCGTTTACATCATCATATTATATTATGACCATGATGATATTTGAAATTACCTGTTAATATTGAGGATCCCTTGAATGTAATGAATCACTTCTCTTTTGCTACTTCAAAAATTCTCCTTTTAAAATGTCTTTGGGGGGCTGGCAGGTGGCTTGGTGGTTAAGGGCACTGGATTCCACATGGCTGACCCTGGTTTGAGTCCTGGACCTGGTGGCTTGCTTTCTTGCTTTCTCTCTCTCTCTCACTCTGTCCCTCTCTGGTCAAATTGAAATAGATAAAGTTAAATAAAATAACTTAAAAAATGTGTTTGGAGGAACCAGCAGGTGGCATGGTAGTTGGGGCTCTGTACTCCCACATGGCCAACCACAGTTTAAATCCCGAACCTGGCAGTGTGCTTTCTCATTTGCTCTCTCTCTCTTTCTCTGTCTATGGTAGGCACATGCTCCCTGTTGCAAATTAAAATAATAATAAATAAAGTTAAATAAATAGTCATTTTAAAAAAGTTCTTGCTGGACTCCCACGTAGTCAACCACAGATTGAGTCCTGGACCTGGTGGCTTAAAACTCATGCCAGGTGCATGCGCATGTGTGCCTAAAATCCTGAGAGGAGAATGGAAGACAAGGGATTGCAGTGTGGCCACTTCCCTGGGGGTGATTTCTCACTTTCTGTCTGTCTCTCTTTGTCTCTGGCAAGCACACGTGCCCTATAGCAAAAATTCCTCTATTAAAAAAATAAAAAAAGGTCTTTGAGTGTTTAATCTCTGTAGTACAGTGGCTAAGCTGCATTGAATCCCAAATGACTGACCACAGTTGGAATTTAGGCCCTGGTGGCTTGCCAAACACACCAGGTGTATGTGCGTACATGCCCCAAATCCTGATGGAGAAATGGGGAAAAAAGAATTGCAGCATCACCACACTCTGTTGGTAGGTGCTTTCTCGCTGTTTCTCTCTCTCTCTCTCTCTCTGGTGAGTGCACATGCCCTCTGGCAAAAAAGAAAAAAACCTTGGGTTTTGACAATTTGACTATAACATGTCTTGATGTGGATCTTTTTGAGTTTACCCTACCTGGAGTTCATGATCTTCTTACGTATATTTATTTCATGCCTTTGACCAGATTTGGGCCATTTTAGGCCATTATTGTCTTCAGATTTTTTTCTGCCCTATTCTCTCTTCTCTTTCAGAAACTACTATAAGTAAGTGTA